GGGTTTCCTGGCCCGACACACACCCAGAGAAGGCCCTCAGTCTAGGCGGAAGGACAAAAGGAGGGAGAAGAGGTCAGCTGGAATCCATCTTGGCTGAGAGATGCAAGCCCATACCAGGACCAAATATGAAGATGACTGGTCAGAAAAAAAAAAAATAGCAGAAAATTACCTTGATTTAAGCAACCTAAGCCGGCCCCGTTGCACATAACTCACTCTGAGTTCAGCTGCGTGTTCTTTTACATGTATTCTGCTTCTTTTCATAAACACCTTTATCTTTTCACAATCTTAGTCTCTTTGCTGAATTCTTCCTTCAAAGAAGACAAGAACGAAGGTCCTTCCTTTTAGTTTTTCACCACCGGTATCAGAACCACCTCCCAATAAACTACTTGTACCCTTGTCTCAGGTTTGCTTCTTGGGAATCCAAGACCCTTTCCTGTTTCTGCGTATCAACTGTCAGCCTCATCTCCGTCTGCCACTGAGGTGGTGTGAGGGAAGTTCACAGGACTGGGTGTTTTATAGCCCATCCTGCCTCTAGGCTTCAGTCTCCCTGACCATAAACCTTCTCCTCCCTGGCAGGAGCCCCCTCTTTCCCTCTGGTTCTGAACCTGTCAGGCTGCCAGCAGCACCAACAAACCCAACAGATGGGACAGTCCTGGCAACACTGGAACCCTGTTTCCAACTGGGAACAGAATGACATCATAGGTGGTCTTCCTTCAGGCCTTTTAGGGCTTTCCTTGTAGCTCAGCTGGTAAAGACTCTGTCTGCAACTCAGGAGACTTGGATTCAATCCCTGGGTTCAATCCCTGGGTTGGGAAGATCCCCTGGACGAAGGGAAAGGCTACCCACTCCAGTATTCTGGCCTGGAGAATTTCATGGACTGTATAGTCCATGGGGTTGCAAAGTGTCGGACATGACTGAGCGACTTTCACTTCAGGTTTTTTTTTTTCCAGGTTTTTAAATTAATGAATTTCAGTTGTGCTGGGTCTTTGTTGTTGTATGGGCTTTTCTCTACTTGGGGCAATCGGGGGCTACTATCTAGTTGCAGTATGCGGGTTTCTCATTGCAGTGGCCTCTCTTGTTTCAGAGCACAGGCGCTAGGGTGTGTGAATTTCAGTATTTGTGGCACAGTGGCTCAGAAATTGTGGCTCCCAGACTCTGGAGCACAGGATCAGTAACTGTAACACAAGGGCTTAGTGGCTCTGTGGCAAGTGGGATCTTCCTGGACCAGGGATCCATCCTGTGCCTCCTGGCAGGTGGGTTCTTTACCACTGAGCCATCAGGGAAGCCCTTCCTTCAGCTTTAAGAAAGAAAAGCCCACAAACTCCCCTCCCCCGAAATTAAACTTAACAATTGGAAACACTCCAAATGCCCAATAGTAGAAGGTTAAATTACAGTATATCTGTACAGTGGAATATACATGGGCATTCAAAATGATGTGAAAGGCATTCAGTCGTGTACAACTCTTTGTGACTCCAAGGACTGTAGCCCACCAGGCTCTCTGTCCATGGGATTCTCCAGGCAAGAATACTGGAGTGGGTTGCCATTTCCTTCTCCAGGGGATCTCGACCCGTGGATCCAACCCGGATCTACTGCATTACAGGCAGATTCTTTATGTCCAAGCCACCAGGGAAGCCCTTCAAAATGATATTGTACCTCTACTCTTACTGATGCTGATGAATTTTCATAACACATTAAATGATACAAAGATTTAAAAAAAAGAAAGAAGCCTACAACAGACAGGTGGGTTGAGACCGGAAGGAGAGTTTTCACTGAGATTTCAGGGCTCTGCCTTCAGTTCTCTCCTTCCTGGCCTTTCTGCTCCCACTTTGCAGTTGCTCTGGCAGCCTCAAGTTCTGACCTGCCCAGAATACGACATACAGTGTGACAGAAGTGGGCACATCCCCCCATGTCCTCACGTTAACTCATGAAACAGGGCCATGATCTGGAGACTGGGGGAGCAGAGGAGAAAGTGTGGGAAGAACTTACACCTGAGGGAGGATGTGGGCTTGGGGTCTAGAAGGTGACACCCTGTTAGGGAAACGAAATGGTCTCGTTTAGGCTTCACAGACGAAGCAGAGCAGGCCTCTGACCTTGCTACTAACCTGCCTGGACACTGCCCTGACTGTGAGTGACTGACTGCTTGCTGTGAGTGGAAGCCTTGCAAGCACCATAGATAGAGGCTGAATCTTGAGACCGTTGAGCCCCGGGAAGTGTCCTGGCCAACCAAGTCACAGGCTTAACAACATTCCAAGTTTTATAAGACAAAACAAACAGCATTAACAGGAAACCAGAGCTGCTATTTGCTCACAGATTGATGATATCAGTTTGCGTCCTGGGATTAAAAGTGGGAGCCCCCCCCCCAAAAAAAAATAAATAAAAGCGGGAACCCCGAGGTGCAGTCTTTGAAGTCTCACCCATGGAGCGGATGCAATGCTTGGGTCCTTTTCCCAACTGGGACTCCAGACGTGCTGTGTCACGGGGACTTCCCAGTGCTGTTTGAGTCTGAATGTTGGTCAAAACCCAATTTGGTGATGTATCCTCTCAGTTCAGTTCAGTTCAGTCACTCAGTCGTGACTCTGCAACCGAATGGACTGCAGCATGCCAGGCTTCCCTGCTCTTTACCAACTCCCAGAGCTTGCTCAAACTCATGTCCATCAAGTCAGTGATGCCATCCAACCATTTCATCCTCTGTTGTCCCCTTATCCTCCTGCCTTCAATCTTGCCCAGCTTCAGGGTCTTTTCCAATGAATCAGCTCTTCACACCTGGTGGCCAAAGTATTCGAGTTTCAGCTTCAGCATCAGTCCTTCCAGTGAATATTCAGGACTGGTTTCCCTTAGGATTGACTGGTTTGATCTCCTTGCATATGTATCCTCTGTTGTTTCTATTTATCTTTTCTTTTAATGTTAGTATATTGAAAGTAAGCTGGATAATCTTCTAACAAACATTTGTATTATTTATTTGTATAGAACAAGTGGCTTATTTTGTTAACAAATCCTTTGAACCTGAGACAAAAGGGAAAACTTTCAGCAAAACACACGTGCAATTATGATTTTGTAGAACAGGAGGAATCCAGGGAAGGGATCATTTTAGAGTTTGGGTGTGATGTTAGTGCTATGCCAAGAAAACCAATTTCATCTTAGTGTCTGCTTTCTTGGGTCACTACCGGCCTCATCTGTTGCAAGTTGGGTTCCCCAGAAGGAGCTCTGAGAGGAAGATGAGGGTGATTACGTTAAGGGGTGCCCTTGAGGTCAACATCTGTGGGAGGGAGAGAAGGAAGGCAAGAATTGAGGAGATGGAGAGGTGAAACTGTGAAAGCCTCAGCTCACGCCCCCACCCCACCTCCCCCAGGAGCTCTGCCACTGGAATGACCCTTCTGAGATGCCTCAACTTGGGTTGAGAAAGTCAGGCCTTTAGAACCTGGTATAGACCAGTCATTGGATGCAGGCTGGACCTTTAGCTGAACAATTTCTGAGACTGCCAACAGCAGGGGGCCACCTGCCCACAGCACTCCCAGAAGCTGGGGGAATAAATCCTTCAGTCTGAAGGGAGACCAGGGCACATCCCAACCGAGTCCTTTGGACCTGTGTCCATCCCCTCCACTAGACAAGCTCCCTTATGGAACACAGCAGAGGGGACAGCTCAGGGACCACCTTCTCCTCTCACAACAGACCTGACAATAATTACGCCTTGGGCCACACTTATTGGTGGGTGGGCAAGCTGCTTCCTCCAACTTCAAGGAGCCTGCATTCTAAGAAAATCAGCTCTGGTGCTGGCATGCAGGTAGGGGTCTTTGTCAAACAGAGAAAGTCACTATTACTGTGCCCTTTTGAAGTACTGGCTCCACTTCTGGCTGAGCTGGCTTGTGGGCCTGGTTTTCTCAGGATGAGAAATTGAAGGAGGGGTCAGGGGAGAAAGAGGAGGAGGATGGCTGAGGCCCAGAGGGGTGAAGGGCAGGAAGGTAGATGGGGGCAAAGAGACCAGGAAGGCACCAGTAAAAACAAGACCAGCATCGGAAAGAGGACCAAGGTCTGGGGAGTAGGAAGGAGGCTGATTCAGGGACCCTCCTGCCATCTCTCTCTCACACTTGCCTAACCGAACCTCAGCACTCCTAAGCCCACCTGTCTGTTCCACACAGTAGCTCCTGGTTGAAGTACGCATTACCTCCTGCCTGGGGCTTCTCATGTGGCTCAGTGGTAAGAATCTGCCTGCCAGTGCAGGCGACAGAGGTTTGAACCCTGGGTTGGGAAGATCCCCTGGAGGAGGAAATTGTACCTCACTCCAGTATGTCTTATCGGGAGGATCTCATGGACAGTGGAGCCTGGTGGGCTGCAGTCCATGTGGTTGCAAAGAGTCAGACACAACTGAGCACCCATATGAGCACCTGCTTGTTGCACTTAGCTCCTGATGATAAGACTCAAGCAGACTCTCCTCATTACCAGGCTATTCTACTCAATGTCCCCCATACACTCAGCTTCCCAGCCTCCAAAACAACCATTTCACCCCATACCCGGTCCTCACTCTCAGCCAGTTGCCTTGCTTCTTGGCTTCCCCTGTGGCTCAGCGGTAAAAAATCTGCCTACAATGCAGGAGACACAGGAGATGCCAGTTGGGATCTGATCCTTGGGTTGGGAAGATCCCCTGGAGGAGGACATGGCAACCCACTCCAGTATTCTTGCCTAGAGAATCCCATGGACAGAGGAACCTGGCGGCCTACAGACCATGAAGTCTCAAAGAGTCAGACATGACTATGCAACTGAGCATGCCCTGTACACCCTAATTTCACTGAAAAACTAGAATCGATCAAAATGGCTATTTTGGCGGCAGGGCCTGGGCAGCCAGAGCAGCACAGACCTCAACTCTGGGCCCCAGGCACCATGTGAGGGGGACTTTGGGGCTGAGGGGAGCTGGTACCCTCCAGGGGAGGTGTGACCCCACACCCCTACCCTCTGGGCCATCTGCAGGATGCCGGCCTCTGCCCCACAGCAGTCACCAGAGAGAGATGAGTAACAACCAACAGCAGTGGTCAGCAGTGTTCGTGATCCTCTTTGCCCTCATCACCACCCTCATCCTCTGTAGCTCCAACAGTGCCAGTGAGGTCTCTCATTACAGCTCCCTGTGGGGCCGGATCCGCCAGCTGGTCAACCTCAAGAAGTGGAGCATCACTGACGGCTACATCCCCATTCTCGCCCACAAGACACTGCCCTCCGGTGCCACCAATGTGATTGTCACCAGCTCCAGCCACCTGATTTGCTAGGTACCAAACTGGGCCCTGAGGTCAAGCAGGCTGAATGCACAATCTGCATGAACGACACACCCACCACAGGCTACTCAGACCACCTTGTGGGTAACAAGACCACCTTCCGCGTAGTGGCCCATTCCAGGGTATTCTGTGTGTGGTGGAGACTCTAGGAGTTCATCAACCAGACTCCGAAACCCTGTTCATCTTCTGGGGTCTCCCAAACAAGATGCAGACGTCCCAGGACAGCCTGGTGTGCGTCATCCAGCGAAGCAGGCCTGGTGTTCCCCAACATGGAAGCTTACACCATCTCTCTTGGCTGCATGACTCAGTCTGATGACCGCTTCTGGAGTGAGACAGGCAAGGACAGGGAAGAGTCCTACTCGTGGTTGAGCACAGACTGGTTCACCGTGGTGACTGCGGTGGAGTAGCGTGACCCTGTGCACATCTACGGCATGGTGCCCCCCAACGACCGCAGCGGCCCCTCCTACAGGGCATGCCCTACCACTACTACGAGCCTAAGGCGCTGGACGGGTGTGCCACCTACATCCAGAATGAGAAGGGCAACCACCCCCACTTCATCAGGAAGAAGGGGGTCTTCTCTTGCTGGGCCCAGCTGTACGGAATCACCTTCTCCCAGCCATCCTGTACCTAGGCCACTCTGCCTGTGGGGCGCTCACGAGGGACAAAGGAGAAGCGGGAGTCCATGCAGGCCGTCTCCTGGCCCATCATGGCTTCCAAGAGGGTCTTCCGGCCCGTCAGACCTTGAAGAGGGTGTATCCTCCAGCCATTCAGGCCCGGGGGAACCTCTTGGCCAAACAGGGATTTGGGCTTCTATATGGTTATTGGGTGTCAAGGGTATTTCCTGTCCAGTCAGGGTCTGAGCACAGTCAATCAGAGTAATCTGAGGCTAAGGTCATGTCCTTTCCCATGAGGCCTTGGTTCAGAGCCCCAGGGTGGACCCCAAATCACTTCCTATTGGCTGGGACAGTGGGGTCCTGTCCCAGGAAGCTGAGAACTTTGTGTTGCCCCCTCACTTTCCAGAGCCAGAGAGAGGTTGTGTGGGGGTAAGAGGCCAGGCTGGGGCATTTGTGGGGTTGGGGGATCTCCAGGGGTGACAGACTGGTGAGACTGGTGACTGGTATCTTGGTCCTCTCCCTGGGATTCACCTCTGGACAAATGACATCTGCATCTCTCATGCTCAAGTGAAAAACAGAATCTATTTTCTCTGCAAGTGACCCTATTTCGTTCCTTTTAGGGGTAGACTAATCTTCTATTGAAGGGGGTGGTGATGGGAGGGAGGCCCCAGAGAGAGGGGATATATGTATACATAGGGCTGATTCACTTCACTGTGCAGCAGAAACTAACATACATTGTAAAGCAATTACAGTCCATAAAAATAAAACAAAAAGAATCATAATCCATTAACTCCTCTCTTTGCCTCACCCTGTACATCCAATCCCCTAGCACGTCTTCTTGTTTCAACCTTCAAAATATATCTGAACCCACAGCATCTCCCACTAGAACTACAATACTAGCTTCACTACTCTCTCCAGTCACTCATTCCTTGACAATCCCCACCCTGGCAACACGGTCCATTTTCTGGTCCGTCCTGCACAAGCTGTTTTCCTGGGAGGCGAGTAAGGCAGAGGTGAAGGGACACACACTGGAGCAACCGCCTGATTCAAAACCCTATGTGTGGGCTTCCGTGGTGGCTCAGTGGTAAACTATCTGCCAGTGTTGGAGACAAGGGTTTGAGCCCCGATCTGGGAAGATCCTACATGCCGTGGAGCAGCTAAGCCCGAGCACTACGACGACCGCATGTATGCTCGAGAGCCCAGGACCCACCCCTGCTGAGCCCCTTGCACTGCTGAAGGCCGGGCCTAGAGTCCACGCTCCGCAACAAGAGAAGCCACCACAGGGAGAAGCCCACACACCGAAACTACAGAGTAGCCACCACTCACGACTGGAGAAAAGCCTGTGTAGCAACGAAGGCCCAGCACAGCCGAAAATAAACACATAAATAAATAAATATTTTTTAAAAGCCGATCTATGATTAGCCACGTGCCCTGGGGCAAAATTGTTCCACTTCCTCTTTCCTCACATTTCTTACTTGTAAAGGAGGAATAACAAATATGGATTTGCCTTATAGAACTCTTCCGAGGGTTAAAGGGAGTCCTCTCCCCTAACAGCTCAAAACTGCAATCACTTACTAAGCACCTGTGAGAGGCCAGGCTTCCTGCTCAGTCCAGTACACATTCCTGTTTTTTTAAATTGGATACACACATACCTGGAGATAAGTGACAGTGGGCCAGGGGCACTCTAAGCCACAAGATAAATGTTAAAAAAAAAAAATCTTGAATACAGTTGACAATGGGGAAAGACTGTTCCATGAAAAGAGACCATTTATGTAATGGTGTGGGAGGAATAACATTAAGCAAGGACTTAATGAATACTTATTGTATCAGGCATTGTTCTAGGAGCTTTACAAATACCAATTTACTCAATTTTTTAGCAGGTCTATGAAGCAAGTCCGGTATTGTGCCCATTTTATAAGTGAAGAATCAAAAGAAGACGTTGAGTAACGTGCTGAGGTCACCTGGCTAATCCAGACAGGATTTGGAATCTGGCAGCGTGGCTCCAGCATGGGTCCCTCTAACTTCCACCTTCCACGGTCTCGCTGTGAAACAGCTGCCAAGGGACAGGGCTTGAAAGGACACAGGTTTCACCAGAGATGAGTGACTGGAAAGAGACAAGTGGAAAAGAAGAGACAGGAATGAAGAATGGTAGCTTTGGGTGCTCTCAACCTGCGCTTGAATCCCAGCTCAGCCACAGCCCACCTGTGGAGCTTGGACACAGTACACAGGTTTCTTACCTGTAAAATGAGTTCACAGCTCTATCTTAGGCAGTTGGGTACATAAATAGCACCCACTGCTTATTAACCGTCCTTCTCCTTTAGGATCTTCTTCCTGTTATCATGGGCTTCCCTTGTGGCTCAGTTGGTAAAGAATTCGCCTGGAATGCGGGAGACCTGGGTTCGATCCCTGGGTTGGGAATATCCCCTGGAGAAGGAAAAGGCTACCCACTCCAGTAGTCTGGCCTGGAGAATTCCTTGGGGTCACAAAGAGTTGGACGCGACTGAGCGACTTTCACGTCACACTTCCTGTGACTATAAAAGAGTTGAGCTCTTCTAGATCCTAATTTGGAGGAGGCAATGGCAACCCACTTCAGTACTCTTGCCTGGAAAATCCCAGGGATGGAGGAGCCTGGTAGGCTGCAGTCCATGGGGTCGCGAAGAGTTGGACACGACTGAGTGACTTAACTTTCACTTTTCACTTTCATGCACTGGAGAAGGAAATGGCAACCCACTCCAGTGTTCTTGCCTGGAGAATCCCAGGGATGGCAGAGCCTGGTGGGCTGCCGTCTGTGGGGTTGCACAGAGTCGGACACGACTGAAGCGACTTAGCAGCAGCAGCGGCAGCAGCAGATCCTAATTTACTATGATGCTATGATAAAAGGGTCAATCCACCAAGAAGACATAGCATCTGTAAATGTGTATGTGCCAGTCAACAGAGCTGAAAAACATATAAAGCAAAACCTGATAGAACTAAAGGAGAAAAAGACACATCAACAGTGATGATTGTGGGGCCTCCCCGTGGCTCAGCGGTTAAGAACCCACCTGCCAATGCAGGAGACACAGGTTCAGTCTCTGGCTCAGAAGATCCCATACACTTTGGAGCTACTAAGCCCATGTGCCATAATCATTGAGCCTGTGCTCTGGAGCCTGGAAACCACAATTACTGAGCCCACGAGCCACAGCTAAAGAAGTCCACATGCCCCAGAGCCTGTGCTAAGCAGCACGAGAAGCCAGCGCACCGCAACTGCAGAGGAGGCCCCGCTGTCGGCAACTGGATTTAAAAGCCTGTGCAGCAACGAAGACCCAGCCCAGCCAAAAATCAATAAATAAATCTTTTTAAAAAACAACAATGATAATTGTGGACTTTAAAAACCCTCCCTCAACAATAGATAAAGCAACTAGACAGAAGATCAGGATCTATGAGAGCTCAACTCCACCATCAACTAACAGAATCTCATTGACATTTATAGAACACCCAACAATAGCAGGATACACATTCTTTTTAAAAGTTCAGAGATCAAATACTAACAGAGACTATATCCTGGTGAATAAAATAAACCTCAACAAATTTAAGAGAATTTAAATCATATACAGTGTACTCTCTGACCATAATGGAACTTAACTAGAAATCAGTAAAAGAAAAATTTTCAAATACTTGGAAAGGAAACAACACACTTCTGATTAACCCATGGATCAGAGAAAGTTTCAAGAAAAATCAAATATACACAAATACACACATAGTGAATTGAGTTATTCTTAATACCATTTATGCTAACTTATGGCTTGCAGAGAACATCGCTGTTAAATCTAATGTACTGACCACTCCACATCAGTACACTACATACATGGTCATATACAGTATCCCATTCAATTCTTACCAAAACTCTCAAAAAGAGAGTTTCTATTATTACTCCCATTTTGTTAATGCGGCAACAGAAGCTTACATCAGCTAAATAGCTTGTCTGAGGTCTCAGAGCTAATAAATGACAAAATCAGCTAAATTGAGGCACCAGAACTCTGAAAATGTCAGGTTTCAGGGAATATCCGGAAACCTGCCACAGATGACAACCCTACCTAACCAACCCCGTTATAACTAAGTCATATCTCCACACCCTTCCAAAACACTGCCCACCATCTGGAGTGAAATAGGCTTTCTCTCCAGCCCCTGATAACTGCCAGGAGGGGGGAAATTCAAAGGGAGAGAAGGACCACAAAGCCCTTCGCATGAGCAGGAGAGATGCAGACATCTCTGAGGTCATAAATGCTAATACCTCTCTTGGTATGAGTCAGAGGGTTCATTGAGAACATCAAGATAGTTTTATTTCCAGATAAACATCAGAACAGAAATAAAAATAGTTATTTGACCTATGAAATACAGAAAAGTTCATATGCTTTTTTCTAGGGTGGGGTGGGAAGAGTGGATGCAAGAGATTTTAAAACTGTACTTAATTTTTATTTTTAGCCCTCTGTGTGTGTGTATGTGTGTGTGTGCACACACGCGTCAAGTCATGTCTGACTCTTTGAGACCCCATGGACTGTAACCTGCCAGGCTCTTCTGTCCATGGAATTTTCCAAGCCAGGATACTGGAGTGGGTTGCCATTTTCTACTCCAGGCGATCTTCCTGACTCAGGGACTGAACCCGCATTTCTTGTGTCTCATGCATTGCAAGAAGATTCTTTCCCACTGCACCACCTGGGAAGCCCCTTTAGCTCTGTAATAATGCCAAAACTGTAAATGATATTCAAAATTTATAACAAAATATAGCTGTCCATATAGCTGTCCCTTGTCCCCAAACCCC